TGCGGATGATGTCTTGTGAACTGGATCTCGGGCAGCTGTTGAACGCGGACCATGAATCAAAAAGCAGGAAGGGCGGTTCATTAAGGTGCGAATGCAATTACTCCACCGCTGGCCGTCAGACGTGTGTCGTGATAGTCTGTGCACGTGTTATGCACCAATGGCTATGTTTCGGAGATATGCGGTAATACTTGACACGGTTATATCGATCACATTTACGAGTTGATGTTTTTTTAAAAAAAAAGTCAAACGAAGAAGAAAGAAAAAAATCTACATTCTACAATGTTTGTCCTGCAGTATTTGCCGTGTTGCGTTCTGTATTTGCCTTGTGACCCTTCCCTGAAATGGAGACCAGAGGTCTCAACGAACCCCTTCACCTGCTCGCGAATCGCGACCTCTGTGCGGGCCTCGTGTTTTCGTTGCAGAATAACAGCGCGTCTTGGCAGAGGCACGTTAGCGACACCTGCTGGATGGCGAGCGAGCGAGTGCGAGCGAGTGCGAGCGAGTGAATCATCTCTCTGGCAGTGCGCCAGGCGATACGAACCCCCCCAACCCGCAACCTCGGTTCGGTGGGGAGCGGTGGCGCAGTGGTTAGCGCGCCCCCCCCCCCTGCCCATACGCCAGGATGTATGTAGTGGTTTGAACTCGGCTACACACATGAGTTCGATTCCCGGTCATGGCCAACGTCAGTTGGGCGAATATATCATCCGGTTCTAGACCTCCCCGGGACAGGTTCGCTAGAGAGATAAAGGCGGCCGGGCGTGTTGCTCACCACACCACCACTTGTGTGCTATGCAGAGGCCTAACGCGATCCTGGGTGTGTTCCACGAAGCCGCGCTGACCAGCGTGAAGGATGGACAAACAAACCCCTAACAAACAGTACAGCATGGCGAAGCCTTCATCCAGCGGCGGAATGAGAGCTACGCAGTGCATCACGCCACGGGGCTCTGGGACCCAGTGTACGTGGCGGTGGCATTTTCGTAAGCAGCAATCTTTGGGTCAGTTTCAACTTTCTGAGTCTCATCAGCGGCCGGCTAAATAAATGCGGTCCCGATGCAATTCGACATCCATTGCCCTCGCAGTGATCTCTGTGACTGTTCTAACTAAGCGGTTGCTTCCAAAGTCGAACTTCTAACATGAGCTGCACGCTTCTAAATCATTTCCCTGTTCAGCGTAAGCCAACATCTGACATCAGCAGTCGCTACGCTAATGTACGACCCCCTCGTCAATCCACTGCTAGACGAAGGGCCCCCCCCTCTCCCACGCCGTGTCGGCCTCGTGCCACTTGCTTGACCACACTTCAACGTGCTGTTTTGGAGCAGGTTGGTTGGAGGCTGGCGAACGGGGGGGGTGGGGGAGGTCCCAGGACCAGTTCGGATACCGCTCACAAACGGACGTTGGCTACGGTCGGGAATCTTAACTCATTGTCGTCACAGGGGCACACAAATCAATGTATCATTATTCGCTCATTCTCGCTGCGGATAACCACAACAGCCCCGTACATGTGACCTTGTTTAAACGGGGGGGGGGGGGGGGGGGGGGGGGGGGGGACGCGGGATGGGGGGGGATGGGGGTTAAGACAACGCAGAGGGTGGTGGGGGAGGTGGGTACGACACGGTCTATGTTAAACAAACTTTTTGATGTCAACGTTAAACGCTCAACGCAACGATGCCGTCTGCTTTGTCGTTTACGAATTCTGCTCCGGCTCTCGCCCCCCCCCCTCACCCCCCCCCCCCTCGTGTCTGTGTGCCAAAGCTACGACGCACAACGGTGAATTGCTAATAAAACATTTTGTGTGCATCTTGTCCAAATTACTTGTATGTCCAATATAATAATAATGATGAAACACTTCGGCTGGGAAGGGGGCTGAGTCCCCCCCCCCTCCTCCAGCCAGCCATCTAAATTGTATCTATGTTGAACTTCGTTCGCACCGTACGTAGCCAACCGTGCCATTGCCCCCGAAGCAACAAAGGGAGCAAAAAAAAACCCGTTAACTTTTAATAATTGCGAGTAATCAGGCCAGAGTGTGATTAGTGAAGCGGCAACTAAACTTACCACTCATTAACAGGGATGGACAATTATGTAATGGCTCACAAAGTATCACTGATTGCCTGGCTAATTAGTTACAGGCACATCTGAGAATGCGATGGGCGATCGGCCACATTCGTCTCGACTGCGGTCAGCCGCGCCGGGCTCGCGCTTTTGCTTCATTTTTTAATTTTCACGGCCGCTGAGCACAGGGCTCAAAAACGCCAGCAACAAACAGCGCTCTTAAAAGTTGTGCCCGTCACAGTGATGTCGAGCTCTCGAGAGGGCACTGAGGTTGTGTTCGCTTGCTATTTTACAGATCCAAGTCAGTTTTTGGAAATTATACATTCCTATGACAGGGGCGAGGCTCGCTATACGATCATCAATTGTGCATGTTTACTGCTGGGCCACGTGTTCCCGGATAAAGTTGTAAGTAGATAATTGTTACTACATCTCTTGAATTCAGAAAGGTGATTATAGGAACTTTCGGTAAAAAGACAACGTGGGAAGTAATTCCAGCATTGCGAAGGAAGAAGACATTTCCCGCACATCCGATGAGCACGATTGGCTACGTACGGTGCGAAAGAAATTCAACATACTGTACATATATGGAGAAACGTTGTGACCGGCTGTGGTAGTTGGACAGTGTGTATGAGACGAAACGGCGAGTCTGATAGATCGAGCCCGCAGCATGAAAGGAGGAATTCACGAGTCGGGAGAGTAACCATGATGGTTGTTTGTAGTAGTGATAGAAGAGTGACAAGGAGGCGACCGACCACCGGCGTTTGAATAACGGGAATGAATCGACGAGTGCTGGATCACCCTGGATCACTCTGAATTCTATCCGCGGTGCAGTGGGGTAGGACTGGGTGCTCCGACCCAGCTCGGACAGCGGTTTTACCTCGACCGACTTTGTGCTGCGTATGCTGTACTGTTTCAGTGATCATTCATTTGGGAAGTTTTCTCATTACGTGTGGTCAAATAGCACCGTCCACACACACGCATCATTCACACACACACATCATCCACACACACACACATCATCCACACACAAACACACATCATCCGCACACACACACATCATCATACACACACATCATCCACACACACGCACACATCATCCACACACACACGCACATCATCCACACACACACGCACATCATCCACACACGCACATCATCCACACACACACGCACATCATCCACACACACACGCACATCATCCACACACACACGCACATCATCCACACACACATCATACACACACCATATCATCCACACACACACACATCACACACACATCATCCACACAACAACCGCCATTCGCCACTAAGTGGCGGTGACGTCACCACGACGCTTGTGCCAGGCTATGTGCACCTTGAGGCCACACATCACACACACACAAGCCTTTGTCAATCCACTGCTGGATGAAGGCCTCCGACGACACGTCGGTCACGGGACTTGTCCATGCTTTTCCGCGCTGCTTACTGCGGGCTGCTGAAAGCCTAGGACCGGTTCAGACATCACTCGCCACCGATGCTATCCATGGCCGGGGAAACGTACTCGGGTTTTTGCCAGATTCAGAGTTTCGTGGGATAACCACCTCGCCACCTCTCCACCCGTCAAGAGAAGCCTACTGAGTCGAGTTACTGAGATCACGAGAAGAATTATTACCTTTGTTTTCGAGTGAACTTAACTGGCACCTGAACTTAAACTTTTTAAGCGGTTCCAAAGTCATTATATTAGGTCCCTTGGGCAAAATGGTGAAGTCACACAAGAGACAAAGATCCCCCGTAAAGCTTTAAAAGACTGTTGGGGCAAGTGCTGTTAGCAAGTAGCACCTATGAAGGCCGTCACGGCACACGGGGGGGGTGGGGGGTGGCCAGCACCACGCCCTGCCGCCTTTATCTCCCAAGTGGCAATGTTTACATATCGCACCAGGTACTCGTATGAGGCCGAGTCGATCTAGGGGAGGCCCGGGACCTATTCACATAATCGTCCCTGGTGTTGGCCGTGAGCGGGAAGCGAACTCGGGTGGCCGGCTTCGTAGCGCGGCGCGCTAGCCGCTACACCACCGCTCCCCACTTTGTCTTTGAAGTCACGCGCACACACTCACAGACACAATCTACGCCGTAACCAAGGCCAATTGCCTGCAGGGGAAAAAAAAAACACAATCATAGAAACCTTCGGCAATCATCGACCACACACACACACGTCTCCCACATCCTCGCTAATGGCATTACAACAACAAAAATGACAGCGGACAGCCCATCAGAATGATCGGTAACTACAGACGCGCCCACGGTGTGGTTCACGGGCAGTCAGTCTGGGCTTGTGACAGCTTCTGGCTTTGCGAGTCCCCTTGAAGCCAAAATGAGCAAATCACTCGGAATGTTGCCGGCCTCGTCACATCTGGGAAGCCAAGCCGTCCCGAGCCTGGATCGTTCTTGGATGTGTGACCGCTGTGCACGTCACATGAGCCGCTTGTTGAGCAACCTTGGCGGGCAGCCGAGTGGAGTTGGGAGAGGATTGTAAAAAAAAAAATCCACCCAAGTTGTGTTGCACCTTCGACGCTCCCACATTTATACTCCTTGCCTTCACCAATCTGCAACGACCAGTGTGGTGAACCGTGGTAAAGGTAATCGCCACGACCCGCACGGCGTGTGGGGTTGGCCTTCATCCAGCAGTGGATTAACAAAGGGCGCTGTGCACAGGTAAAGTAAAAATACCGTGGTGCTCGTGGACAGCCAGCTGCAGCCGACGGGAGTTAACTCGAGTTGATTTACAACCGGACTTGTCTAAAACATCGTGGCATTCCGTAGATTATTCCCAAGTTACTCGAGTCATCACGTGGGCAGGTCCTCCCTTGAACGGTGAAAAAGCGCCGCTGACAACAGGCATCCACACGACACCCACGTATTCAAAGTTTTGAAACTTCCGAGTAATGCAGGATTGAAGATTCGCATACGTCACAAACCTCGTTTTTTTTATTCCATACAGCTTCCTTCTACACACGGCAGCGTAATGAAACAGCCACCAAAGGGCAGGGTGAGGAAAGCAACTCGAGAGGCTCGTGGTAGAACGTGGCAAGCAATAGGCGACAAGCAATATAAGTTGGCAAGCTATAGGTGGCAAGCAATAGATGGCATGCAATAGAAGTTGGCAAGCAATAGCAGGTGGCATGCAATAGGAGGCACGCAATGTGACGAGCAAGAGAACGTGGCAAGCAAGCCATGTCGATGTGATGAGGAAGAGGAGTTTGTGATGGACAAGGCACGTGCATAGCAAGAGGATAGTGTAAGCAACAAGGACAATGGGAATAGGACACGGGTGAGAAAACATCGTTCGGCATAATAAATTAAGAGGTTGCGATTGCTGGGACGCGTGTGTAGGATAGAGGGCAAGTTGCCGAGACGAGCGGTTGAGAGTGGCACCCAGCGGTCGGTGATCAAGGGGAAGACGATGAGACCGTAAGAGCAGACCCAGAAGGTTAGGTGTCAAACTTTGCAACGGCAAAAGGGAAGCTAGCAGAAGGAAGCGATGGCGTGGTGCGATAGCAACCGGCACTGGCTGCGATGACCTCATGGCCTTCACTTGTCCATTCTGTGCAGCGAACCAAAACGCGATTTAATGATCGGATGGCCATGAGTCACTGACATTGCACTCGCCCGCGCACAGCTTTTTCAACCACATTTCCGTTCGCTCAATTGTGCACAGCAATAGCGTAACCACAAACACACAGGGTGACGAGGGGCGCTATTGAACTGCACCTGACATTTGTCCCAAGTGCGGCACAGCGATTCTAACGGAGGGTAAACAGCCGTCTCGGGAGTGAACAGGGCTCCCAACAGTGCTCTCGGTATTACACTCAAGAGACTCTTCGCAACTAGCAGTGCAATCATCGCCTTGCGTTGGAGAATTGCCTCCGAAGATATCAAAGAACTACATCCCGAGTGAATTCCTCTCTAGCCACAATAAGCTCGCACATTTAGCATACCCTGCACTGTGTTTGTCGCGTGACATTATCGTAGCTGGAACATGCCGCATTAAGTGACTAAGCATATTTAATGGGGTGTTTTTTGGGTGCAGTCATTGGTGACCTGGGCTGTGAGCATCAACTCGCTGCACCCGAGAACCCGGTTTGACCACGGGTGTTCGATACCCGGACTCAAACCCAACCCAGGGTTATAACAGCGGTGCACTAGCTCAATGCCCATTATGAACCTCCCCGAACCGATCGACCACTTCGGCTCCTCTGTAGGCTTGGGGGGGTCGCACGAGCGAGAGCCGCACGTCACTCGACACCAACCACCGCTCCCCCACCCACGCCGAGTTTCATCGCTCCAATCGTTCCACTTCGGCCATGAAAAAAAATATTAGGCGGAGGGCGCAGAGGAACCATCGGCGGCGGTCGTCGCCTGTGATGTGCCGTCGGAACGCTCGTGAACCGCGACCGACTGTAAAATGCCCCCCACCACCACCACTAAAATGTCAGCGGTGGGATTCGTTTTCAATGTTTGCGTTGCCGTCACCCAATGATCTTCTCGGCATATCGCGTTTCGTCATCTTGTTCCCCCCCCCCCCCCCGCCGCACCTCTCGATTGCATGGTTGGCTACGTACGGTGCGGAATAGGTTCAACATACGTACATATACATGTCTCGAGTGTAAAAAAATATATATTTTTTATAACCTTGGGTAACGAGTTACCCGTGCAATTAATGCGAACACGACACGTGCCCCCTTATTCGTACATGTAAATACGAACACATTATCGCGTGTGCATCCTTCGAAGGTTTACTTACGAACTGCAAATTGTGTTGAACGGAGCTCAAATTTAAGTGGCCGGGTGACTCGGGGGTTCAGGGCACTTGAGCCGGTATTGCTAAGAACCCGGATTCGTCTAGGATTCGGCCGCTGCCTGTGATTAAACCGGGTCCTCAAGTGTAGCGAGTTGATGGGGTTCTCAGCCCTGGCACCAACGGCTTGACACAACCAACCCATCGTTATTAAATATGATTTGTTACTTATTTTGGAAAAAAAAAATAATCCAGCTATTGGGCATTGCATTGACTTGACCGGCATGGGATAAACACTTTTTCCAGGTCATATAAAAATGTGTGCCCCTGGCGTATGCATGGAAGCCTTCTGAAGTGACTGCACAAGTTAAGTCTGTGACGTCATCTCCCACGGTCATTCACTGACACAAGAGCGATGCACTTCTAGCCGCAGAGCGACAAATGGGATCTTCTTGAGCTCGTAAAATGATGCTGACAGCAACAACTGGAATATAATTTGGATCATATACAACGTAAAACAAAAAAAACATTACTCAACAGTTACCCAGTCAATGATACTTCAATCAAAAGGTATTTTTCACAAGTAGTCACAATTAATGAGGGTGTGCAACCCTTCCCATTTCGAAATAAAACAACCCTGACATTAGCAAAGCTGCCCAGCCGTGCCAACACTGAGGGCGCTGTAAGTGATTAATGGGGCAAAATATCCACTGCAAACGCACACCCACACCCTGCAAGCAACATAAATCCACAGGAAATATCATACATATGGATCGCTATGCGACAAAAAAAAATAAATATTTAATTTTCACGGCAATTACGGAAGAATGTCTTTTCGTTGTCACAGTCAATCACGGGGGTGGAAAAAAAACGATGCGTCAACAGCTTCATTGATAGAACGACCCGACAACCTTTCGACGCGACATGGCTCCGACACTCCCGAGTAAAACAGGCAACGATGAATCGTTTCAGCAACTTCTTCAGGAACTGGAATCGCACGCTCACGTTCTCACTCGGTGCTACGGTCCCGACAACAACCCGGACGCGTGCCGAACGGTGGTCTGGACAGCACGACCGCGAAAACCTTCGCAGTACAAGTAAACAACGCAGCGTTCAATCCGGCAAAACGGTCAGCGGGCAAAATAGACGCATCGTCGCGATTCACCAAATCGCCAAACGGGCGGGTGAGCAAGCGGCGAAACTCAGTGTTCTTCACTAATTATTAGAGGGGGGGGGGGGGGAGGGAGGCGCTTTCGCCAATAAGACATCAGTGTCAGGGCCACCACCGCCCGCGTCACTTTACGTTCACGTAGGCGCTCAGCTCCCTCTCCACGCTCTGCACAAACTGGTGATTGAGGAAGAGCAGCTGTCCAAAGGGCAGCAGCGCGGCCAGCACCGCGTCCACGCGGTCCGCTTGCAGCAGCGCCTCGCAGCCCAGCGCCGCCGCCGGCGCCACGGGGGGCAGCAGGCGCTCGAGCAGGGCGCGGCGCACGTGGCGCAGCGTCGACTCGGCCAGCGTCGTGTTGTCGTGCTCCTCACACAGCAGCGTCAAGGCGAGCGCCGACGCAGCCACCGCCGCCGGTGGCGGCGGCGACGCCGCCGCGGCGCCGGCACCGCCGCCGCCGCCGCCGCCAGGCAACGGCAGCCACAGCGCCGTGAGCTCCGAGTCGCAGGGGTCGCCCGCCGGCAGGCGCAGGGCACCGACTTCGAGCGACGCCGACACCGCCGCCTCCTGCGCGGCGGTTGGCTCGGCACCCGGGAACGCCACCGCCGCTGTCGGCTGTGCCGAGGCGCTGCAGGGCTGGAACGCCGCCTGCACCTGCCTGGCGACGAAGGAAACGCGGAGCGGGGGGCAGCCATGGCTTACGTTGGTCGTGACGACCGGGAGGGGGTGTGCCGCTCTATTTTCAGTTTTTTTTTTTAAGCACACTTCACCGTGCTGGTGAGTGCGGGTTGGTGACTGGAGCATATTTTGTCTCACCTCTCGCTCAATCGAAATTTGCAACACGCAGTATTTAGAAATACGTATTCATAAATACGGTGTATTCCACATCTTGTGGAGGTGATGAGATCGAATGGCAGCCGAAGGAGAGAACACACATAGGAGAAGATGACCGGTATGAAGACAGCAATGGGATCAGCTCATGTGCAGGAGTAAGAGGGGTTGTGGTATCTCGAAACCATGGATGGTGATATGGGAATGCCTTCATTCAGCAGTGGACTGATCATATCTTATGGTGACACGCAAACTTAATTTTGATTTATGCGGTGAGTGGTTAGGGCTAACAGGGCTCAGACCCCTGCCCCTGAAACCTATTCACAAGTGTTAGTATTCACCGGCACGGTAAAACCTCTCAAAGCCGGACTTGGCGAGAAAGCGCAAGATCACCACGAGTAGAGGACATGAACCTGTGGTCTTGAGTGTGCCAGTCTACCACGTACTCTGCTAGTGGTGAACTTGATTGTGCCCGTCTACCACGTGCTCGGCAAGTGGGGGCCTTGAGTGTGCTTGTCTTCCACGTGCTCGGCAAGTGGTGGCCTTGAGTGTGCCAGTCTACCACGTGCTATGCTAGCGGCGCGATTGTGCCGTCTCGTTTTTGGACATACATTATCAATCGTTGTTTTAATACATTTCATTAATTGCACAAAAAGTTAAATTTTCTTAGAAAAATTAAGCGACCGCAATTAGTTCTTATTTCTGCCTCCCAAAGAATATTTTATCCCCCCCCACCCGCCGCCTATGCCCAAGGGAGCGAGTGAGAAGCAAAAGATGTCATCGCAATCGCTGGCATCGGTTACGTTTCCACACCCTCTTAAACACAACGCCGTCGCACAAACGCGGTACCGATACTGCTATAGTTTTCAGATTCAACGCTTGTGGCTGCCAAACAGATCAGGCTAGAATTACCAGTGCTTTGCAATTTAATAATTCATCGGCGATTTGTCTCGTTGTTTTGTTAGCAGCCTCATCCGTGTACCAAGTAGAATAATTTATAGGTAATGTCAGCAATCACAAACAGTAGCTCAATCCTTTGTTAATAAAACATGACAATGCAATTCAACTTGTAAATCTATCCCCTGTTGCCACAGAGCACACACACGGACTAGCTTCAAATATCAACCACTGAGATCAACGTTTGTAGTTGGAGATGGGGCCAAAGACTGCCTCATTTAGCCCCGGGCATAAACAATGAACCTCACGAATCTCACAAGTGCTCTATTATATTCAGGCATTAACCACTGAACCGTCACAATCCTAAAGTTGTCCCAGTCTCTGACTGAGCCTCGAGTATTTACAATGCACCATAAAAACGAAATCCCACAGGTGCCTAAGTCAAGTTTTGACTTGGCATATTTATATGTTAGGAGTTGGGATATCCAATGGGAATTCGAGGCCAGGTTGTCCACTTACCTTCGAAGTTTAAAACGAGAGGAAAGGTGAAGTTAGGGAGCAGGAGGCGTCACCGGGCAGCTCAGGTGAGATGGACCCAGAATCGAGGAGAGGTTGTCACCCCCAAGCATAATGCTGCGTGGATGTTTTATGATTTATGGAGTGTTCCACCCCCCCCCCTCGCGGCACCACACCGGGCCTCCCCTTAGAACGTAGGTTACCTCTTCACCGCCCCCTCTTCCCTCCCCATCCTCACTGCCCCCCCCCCCTCCCCCCCGACGGAAAATCCCCACCGATTGGGGCATGGAGCCTTCCACTCCCCGCCTAAGTATGGTTCTGAAGCGCCGACTACCCCCCCCACGCCCCCCCCCCCCCAGAAACCATCGGCGCCTGGTACCGGGCTCGGGGGCTTACCACAATAAATAAAAAAAACGTAATAAAAAAAGTGGTGAGCCATCTATCGCTCGCCTATGATGTTAGCCATTGTCGGGAATCAACCTCGGGAAAGTGGGGTTCACAGCGAAGTGCTCTCTCACCGCTGCACCGCCACTCCAGTGATAACGAATGAGCGCAGCAACTTTGTTATCGGCGTTGTGTGTGTGTGTGTTTCACGGTTCATTCATCAAGAGGCTGCCCCCGCATCCAACGAGGAAGCAGCCCACTCCAAGTCACTGGGGGGGGGCTCGCTAGTGCCACCGGGCAGCAGCTGCCACGCTCAAGCCACTGCTGGATGATGAACTCCCCCACGCCTGGGAGGGGGGGGAGGTGAGTGAATATACTTCACCGCGCTGGTGAATGCGTTTACACTCGGTGTACTTCGCGGAGCCAGATGTCATTTGTCGCCATCCACTGCTGCATGATGAAGTCCTTGCCAAGACCATCGGCCCACCGCACGGTCTCGCATTGACCAGCGTGGCGAAGTATGGTCAAACAAATCCCGATGACCGACACGGCGTGGGAAGGCCTTCGTACAGCGTGTGGATGAACACAAAGGGCCTGTGCATCGGTGTGACGCCGCCGCCACATCGGGGTGACCGACTCGACCACATCGGGGTGACATTACCAATGTGACCAGGCCGAGGCAGCAGCCATGACCGACAACGCAGCACGGACAAGCGTGGAGGCCACGATTAGGGGCCCCACAAATGCGCGAGAAGACAAAAATATCGGCAACGGTCGTTTCTAACCCTTTCCACGAAACCCTTTTCTCCGATCCCTAACGCGCACCCATAAACCCTACACATCTAACTCTGGCAATTGCTCACTGTCGGCCGAACGGCTTCCACTCGGATATTTGGACTCCTCTTCCACGACGGCAATCCCGCACGAGACTTTTGCCAACCGACTACCGACGGAGCATCAATTTATGCCGATGGGTTAACAGAGGCGCGGAGGGGGCGGGCGGGGTCCGCCTGATGAAGCTAGTTGTAATTGCTGGCGAAACGTCGTACTCAAGACTGTAAATATTGTGGATTTGCCCTCCAACACACAAGCGGTGTGCTGTACTAGTGACGAATTGGCGTGTTCCGTTTACGTGACAAACTTTACCAAATGGCTGCATCGGGTGGTGGCAGGTTTAACGACGCATTTATATGTACGCGATCTAACCCAAAACAATCCCTGTATTATGGATGATATTGGTCACGAAAGCCTCCTACGTGTTAACCAGAGGGCCAAATCTCAGGACTGCAAGTCCAGTGCGCTACCTCCACCTCACCCCCCCCGCCCACCACCATCACACCACGACAACGGCAGCGAATCTCCCGCCTGGCCCGGAGTGTTCGAGGTAACTTCCCGATAATAATGAGAGCGAGAGAGGCCTTCTACCTCGCCACCGCCGCCATCCGTTCCTTGCGGAGAAGACGCAGCCGTTCGCCCTCGCAGCCGTCGTCCTGGAGCTTCTCGGCGGCGAACACCTGCGAGTAGAGGACGCGGCAGGGGCCCGCGGAGCTCACGGTGTGAATGAGGACGGCGTAAACCATGGCGATGGTGGAGAGGCGCGCGAACACAACACGCGCACGTGCTTGGCGCACTTCCGGGGTCATCGATTCCGGAATCGATATCGTGTGTGGTGGAATTAGCGATTCGATTCATTACCCTTTGGGGTTATATAAATGGGGACCTTTTTGCCGGAATGATATCAATAAGTAATGTTTGAAAAAAACTTTTTTTTAAACACGCTTTTATGACATGTACTAGTAATGACAGAACTACACGACTCCAGGAAGTGGCCCCGAAACTTGCCATAACGTCAGGGACCGTGGTGATTTACAGCCAACGTTATGTTGACCGTGGACAATTAGACCCAAGCCGAAACATAACATAAATAATGTTAAAAATATATATTTTTTATGATAGAATATCGTATTTTCATCAGTATGACATAAGTATATCAAGTTTGCAGTCGATACCACATTGGGAAGTGGGTAAAAATTGAGTTACAAGATTGGAAGATACAACAGAGTTCATAAAAAGCGTGTAGACATGAGTGGATTCAAGTGCGCAGCTCCAGTGGCTTCCTAATATCGGAAAGAGCGTTCCAATTTGGTGTTTGAACATCTTAACGCCAGTTTTATTGACAATCGGTAAAACATATACATTTTTCAACCTTAGGGCTGATTTTTTCCCCGGGTCAGACTAAAAGTAATGAAACACTTTTAGTCCATACATTTGGAGAATTCCGTAGTCACTGGTTAGTCTGTGGGCATTCCATTTTCCCCATTGTATCCTACAGGCATCCCCCATGTTAACCTATGGGCCGTCGTTTTTTCTCCATTTTTCCATGCACTATGTATTTAACTTATTTCGGGCTGTACGTAGCCAACCGTGCTAATCGGGGGTGCGGGGGAAGGACTAAACACAAAAAAGCAGTTCTGAAGAACGTAGTTTTCAATCTAGATTTAAAAGTGCATAGCTCCAGTGCCTTTCTAATATCGGAAGAGCGTTCCAGACGGCCGCAGAAGCGCATCTGAAAGCACGTGATGCAGTGACCGTGTTTGTTCGATGGCGAGCTAAAATACGCTGCGAAGATGACCGGTCCTTGACGAGATCAGCAATTTTGATTTAAAGCTTTCGTGACTGCAGTAATATTCTTAGCTCTTTCGGTAAAGTCACGTTGAAGGGAAATAATAATATATTTTATTTTGTTTCCCTTCAACGTGACTTTACCGAAAGAGCTAAGAATGAGATCAGCAATGTACTTTGGTTCATTTGTGGCAAGCAGTGTGTAATGAGTGCGACCTTATACTGGTAGGAACGAAGTTGTAAACCGAGTGTACCAGCCTGCAATAGATTATATATTCGTTCGGAAACCGGAAATCAATGCAGTTCAGCGAGCACTGGACGGACATGGTCGCATCTCAGTAATCAGAGGACTCTTAAATGGAATTGCTAAATCGTAATAACTTGCGATGTTAATTTGCAATTAAATCTCGTGTTCGATTGTCCACATCCAACTTCGGGAATCGCTTCGCACGGACTTCCCAACGCGTTTCTCGTGCTGGACAAGAACGCCCACTTAACAAAAAATATTAACTGCCGTATCGGTCATTAGCAGGCATAGCCCAGTTTGCATTCTATACTTCGGTGCAAGGTCTGTTTATCATGCTCAAGTGTGATATTTAATGTTTTGTGCAAACCTCAAGTGTATTACTCAGATCACGGGGAATGACTGCAGAGAAAAATATGCGTTGTACCTCTATGCCCCTGCATCTTTCCCCACCTTCAACGCACACTGACGAGGGTGGCGAGGCATTAACACCATTATCGACAGTGTGATGCCCCTTGTTCATCAGTGTATTGACAAAAGGGTTGTACACGTAAACGCCACTTGTATTTTGATTTGATAGGTGCGCAGTGGAACACAATCTTTTGTAAATGCAAGATTGCACAATAAAATACTGATACACATTTTGCACCCTGCACAGTAACTTTTATTACAAGAGACGATGTGCTCATAACACGATGCATCACCTTTATTTTGTAATCACATTTAAACGTACAAGTGCGTTGGAATACAGTATTGCCTCAATAATAGGCAGTAATGTAGCAGACACCAACAATACACTTAAAAAATGTATCTAACTCTGTACAGAGCAGACCTACTACCAGTAAATACAAGGCCATTTAATACCCTTCCCCCTCCACTCATTTCAACATCGCCAACAGTGCCCCAATCACACAAGCGCAAGCTGTGGATACGTCCAATGATTTGCAGATACACTATACAGCAGCCAGCGTCCGTTCGTAAGCGCCTTCAAAAACTAGCGTCCTCCCTGCCTTTAGCCACAAAGCATGCGTCGGTAAAAAAAGCCAGCAAAATAAATTATATTTATCTTTTTTCTTCTCTGAAACGGGCCATAGAAATGACTGTGCAATCACAAATGCTGTCAATTTAAAATGAAAATAAACAGCGGAATAAGTTGCCTGCTGTATACTTTTACCATTAGTGCTGTAGTTACGCAAGCCGTTTGCGTTTCCACAACACTATTAAGTGACCATCTGTCCCCATCTGCTCACCAACTCTCACATAATGAATGAATCTCAAGTGGAATTATATTTTCGTAACGCTACACAACGGTGTGTGGGGGGAGGGGGGGTTCCGGTGTCCATAGTGAAACGCCAATATTGTAATCCGCACGTTTAATTGGCGTTACTGCTTGTCTTCCTTCTTCTCCTCTTGGCTGCCGCCACCGCCGCTGCTGCTGCTGCTACCGCTGCTGCTACCACCGCCGCTGCCGCCGCTGCCACTTCCTCCAGCTTCCCTCTCTGACGCCATCTGTAGCGCAAGGATTTAAACGTGTTTAGTGGGCGAGCAATGGGTAACTCTCTCGGCTATTTGATGAATTGTCAAACACGATCCGGGATAGATTTCATGAATAGATTTGTCTAATTTTTACCATCTAATTTGTCCCACTTCTTGTTCTGTATCATTTTGTACAGTATTATTATAAATGTAACAGTTGCATGATTAAAATTAAATTTTCATGAATCGTCAATAGCTATTCGCACACACATAATTAGTTGCAGGTACTGTGATCATAAAAAAAACACAGTTTTACAGCGATTGATGAATGTATCTGTTACCTGAGAAATTTATTTAAAAAGCAACGATTGAAATATTTAACACACGGAATGTCACCACTCAAAGTGGACTAGAGGTGCATGCGAACACTTGCCTTCTTGTAGGCCATCTCAAACAGCTTCAGTGAGGACTGCTGCAGGGTGGAGGCTGCCTGCTTGATGGCCTCGCCTGTCTCGGTGTCCTTCCGCGTAAGCAGCTCCCGCACCTTTGCGATCTCCTCCTTCAGCTTGGTGCACTGATCACGCAGAGACGTGTGGGAGACGACAGGTGTGTTAGCAAGACATATGCCATAATTTGGGAACATGGTTCTCAGTGGGGGGAGGGGGGGGGCAAATGCAGCTACGTCCTTTGATTATCAGGGTTGGCTACGTACGGTGAGAAAAAAGTTCAACATACATGTCCCCTGCAAGTTCCAGCAATGTCATCCATGTACAGGGAAACCAACGGTGCAGCTATCTGGCTAATTCGTTATGATCCCGGTTAACCCATGGCTAGTTACACAGGTTAAACCTACCACCCAGGCCTTAGGCTCCACAAGGCTGTGGGGCCATCACTCCCATGTTATTATTTGTCTTGTGTATCTGGTGCTTTGTGTGACATTCACATGTAAAGAGTATTCACTAAATAAATAAGTGTCCAAAAAATTTTTTAGATAGAACTTTCTGCGCTTTGCCAATAACCAAATCGTCGAGAATGTGGCAAATCTCAAAGGATAAGGCAGAACCAAGGCTGTATGGGTGACCATGGTATATATTTACTGAGGTATGTTTTACAGGGATATATTTTTGACAGCAAAGGGGTAAGAAAAAAAATTGTGGATGGTGGTTGGTGCTGGGGAGACATGTCAAAGATCAGCTCAGAAAAACGCCACTGATGTTAGCCGTGGTCGAGAATCAAACGGACATGGACAAATTCACAATACAGTGCATACCTAGCAACTTGCCACTACTCTACCCCACTTAATATATTGCTGAATGCACATTGCATTACTCTAAAATGTACTCTGTAGCAAGTTCAAAGTACAGGCCACCAAGGAGTGAACTCGGTTTCCTTTTTCAATGACTGCAAGTGAATATTCCCAAAACTGAATGTCACAACACAACTGAGCCTGCCGCAGTGACCGTACGATTTTGGGATTTGCGTCCAATCTAAAGAGTGATTTAATTATTTTGGTGAAAACAATTAAGAAATGTTTGAAATAAATGGTACACAATGCAGTATTGTGAAGAACACCTCATCAGCTGGAAGCTGATCTTTAAACTCCTCCATCTTGCTCTCGATGTCATGGACGATGCCTTCCGCCTGGTTCACAGCCTCCACACGATCCTGCAAGGACACGACCACACGCGCTATCACCAAGGGCAGCAGTGACATCATCGAGCACACCACACTTGAACGAGCATCAATGGACAGGAGCACTCGCACATTTTTACGCAAGACCATTGCCATTTTTCAAGACTGTATTGTTGTAATATAAAATCGTACCCCAGTTCATGCCAGGGATGCCTTCCTGAAAGGTGCGACGACGAATATCGAAACGTCAAAGCATTTTACAGGGTAGACGACAGATACAAAAAAGGACGGATGCTGTCAGCGATAGGTGGGTTGAGAGACACAAATCGGATAGCAGTATTAATAAAGTGACGTATTTGCAAAACGATGTAAAAGGGGAAAACATAAATCGGGGTATTACTGTACATTCAAACATTATTCTAGCGTTGGGGTTTCAGGAAAACCTAAAAGTTAAGAAAACTTATTTACGAATTAGTACTCTAGGTAAGAAAACTATTTGCCTCCTCCAAAATGTTTTGGCTGGGTGCGCCAATGTCACAGGGGAACAAGACTCAGTCGAGATTAACGCTCACCATATACAATTCGAAGTCTGTTGACGAAAAATATTAAACATCATTGTCGAGTTCCCAGAGCTTGAGGCGTTACGAGGTCTCGGTAAAACACTGGGCGAAAGAAATTAATACAAAAATAATCCTAATCCTTTACGCACCTTTCTCCTCCGGTCCTCCTCCGCGTACTTCTCTGCGTTCTTGACCATGTTCTCAATCTCATCCTTGCTGAGGCCACCAGACGACTGGATGACAACTGCAGGCACA